ATTTGCAAATCCTTTTCAACCTACGTTCAACTGAATATAGTACAAATATTTCATGTTCAAACTAATTAACTTTTTTTGTTTTTTTGTAATTATACACTCATTGTGAACTGGATGTCTGCAACACATTCAAAAAAAGTTCATCACTGTGTTACATCACCTTTTCTATTAACATCACTCAGCAAGTGTTTGAAACTGAAGACACTCACTGTTGAAGTTTTAAGAATGAAATTCTTTCTCAAGATTCACAAGTGGCCCCCAAAATCTTCAAGATTTATAGACTGCGTGGAAGACTGGGCCAAATCCCACCTGAACACTGTGAGACATTAGTTTCTTCACACAGGAAGTGTCTTTCAGCTAGCATTGTAAACAAAGGCTTCTCCAAATATTAAACTAAATATCAATTTGTGTGTTCTGTACTTTTTTCCAGTGTCATTTCATGTTATTGCACATAAATTCTATGTACGGAAATGTTACACTTTATTTATCCGTGTAGTTTAATTCAGTAAATACCAATGTCTGGTCTACGTTTCATGTGAGTAGCTGCTTTGGAAATATGTTAAATGAAAAAATGGACATGTTGAATTCTTATTTTATACTGCTGATTGACGAAAAGGATTTGCAATTTGATTTGCTTTCTGGTTTTCTGTATAGTGTAGTGTGTCCAGGATTCTCACCCATTTTCACTGACAAAACTTCAAAGCTTTTCCATAACTTTTTAAGAACCCATGATAAAAAAAACATTTTCTTGCCCCATTTGCTGGGCATTTTTCAAACATTTCAGATTCAAACTCTAATCAAAAATAATTTCAGCTTGCTGGCAAATATGAAGACAGAGAGGGATCGTGGGAAGAAACTAAAAAAACATATGTGATGGTACACAAAATGTCACACATCAACACATATCAGAGCAACTTTATGTCGACAGCTACAGAAAATAAATTTGTGGTTATGTTACACATAAGATTCCTGTAATAATTTCATTAAACACACCAAAATTCCACGACTCTTCTAAAATGTTATGTGATTTTTACTCATTCCATAAATTTTCAAGGCCTGGAAAATGTGACTGTGAAATTCCATCACTTTTCCAGGTTTTCCATGACAGTGGGAATCCTGAGTGTCTCAACTTTTTATGGAATCAGGGTTGTATGAGAGTTGAACTTGGTCCTGGCTTGTTGCATGCTAAAAGGGTTTCAAGTGAAGAGCCCATTCCTTTTTTTGTTTTCCAGTAAAACTGTACAATAAACCCCATATTTGAGGGCCCATCTCTCTAAATATTAAAAAGAAATTTTAAAAAAAAAGTTGCAATGTTTGTATTCCATCCACTGGCTTCATAATAAAGACTTTTATTGTGCTTAAGGATGTACAAAATGTTAATGAAGGTCACACACACTATCCCAAACTCACAACTAAAACATTTCATTATCTACCACAGTGACATGACTGCTGATAACATGCTGTGTTTGTGAGCTGGACAGTAAATCTCACCTTTGAGGGCCCATCTCTCATCTTTTTCATCTGGTCCTTGTACTTCATAAGTTCAGCATCTAGTTTGGCAATCTTCTTCTCAACAGAGTCTGCCCGAGAATCAACCTTCAAATTAAAAACAGAGACAATGACATCAGCTTTTGTTCATTAACAGTGGGATAATCTTAAAAGAGGACTTTTAGAATAAATACAACCACTTTAAACTAACTAATGCATTGCTTAAAATGCTTTTCCTTAGGCACAGATACACAGTAGTTTAATTGAGGCTAATAATGTACCATTAACCATGTCATCTGTTTCTTCCTCCACTTCAGTTAGCTAACAATAGCTCTGACCAGACACATAACCTGTTTAACTGGTTGATGTCAGCCATTCCACTAAGAGAGCGACATGGTTTCTGGTGTGTGCCAGTGAAATGGTTCAAATTCCTACTTAAAATTACATAATGCTGATTCATTACGTCAACACATACACCCATTGTTTAGTTTATAAACTTTGTTTATCGACCAATACTATCCATACACTGTGATAGATAAAACGCTTTGTGATATTATTCTGTCTGCTTTCAGTAATTTAACAACTTTTAACTAGTAGTTTCGACAACATGCCAGTTAAATATGGTAAACGCTGGCCTAGTTTCTGCTCATAAAGTTAGCTAGCAGTTAGCTAACCCAGCCGAGAAGGGCTCCATCTTTGTTTATTTTGTTCGAGACAGTGTTCAAAAAGTTATTTCGGGATTATACTCACGGTTCCTATGCAGTCGGTAAGGTTCGGTGGTGGACCTTTGGGTTTTCCTCTTCCAAATATTCTGTTCATTTCGGCAAAAATAAAGTTAAGGCTTCAACACTTCGAGAAAGCTGCGTTAGCTCGCTGTCACCGTCCAGCTGAGGGAAAACACCCGGAAATGGCTGAGGTGACGCCAGAGGGGTCACGTGATTGTTACGCACTCAGTCGCGCCCTACAAACAGCTCTGTTGGGTTTAGTGTTTGTATCCTCTTTTTTTAAATCTGTTTTTGTAATCCCATTAATGTCCCTTACCTTAAAATACTTTTTTAAAAAAATATTTAATAATTTCTTTCCTTTTTTCTTAGCAAACAGTAATCAACAAAACATGACATGTAGCCTACATAATATTGAAATATATCTAAAGATTAATCAGAAATAATAACTATAATAACGCAATGTTAGACGTGGGCTTTCAATGTCCAAATCTATTTTCCTAAATTAATTAATATGTTATACTTCTGGAAACATAGATTGAGATAAAGTACTTTATAAGTAGCTTAACTACATATACAGGCAAAGATACACACTGCATTAAACTTATCATCAATAGCCTAATAATGAGATGATTTTTACTGTACATATATACATGTATGTGCTGGACATAGTGCAGGTAGTATGTCACAGCAGGAAACAGTAAACAACCACAGCACATAATATAGGTAAAACAAGTTAAATAACACAAAGGAATGAAATGACATCTCAAGTAAAGTAAAAAAAAAAAAAAAAAAAAAAAAAGTCAATCAAAATCAGAAAAATAACTCTTAGGTTGGTGTGTTTTAATATTTAAAAAATAGCTTTAGGGTGGCTATCTTACTCATTATATAGGCTAGATCAGTTTTCTGATTTTACAGTCCAAAATGTTGCAAATGATAATAAACACCTAACAGAGGTCAACCAATCCCTAAGTTTTTTTCTATTTTATTCTTCATCTAATGTTTAATAATGTAATATTTATCAAATATAATTTATATCCAAATTTTATCAGTTGGGCAAAGCATGCAGCTCAACACAGCAGACCCCCAGGGGTGCCCAGGTGTGTACTTTGGGGTATGGGGATAAAGCACTGACATGATAAAGGCCTTACACTTACACTCTTCATTTAAAACCTTCACTGTTTCTGATAATGTTTTAAATGTTATTCTAATAATACACAGTACAAAGAAAGGAGGGGGAATGGTTCATTAATGTAATGGCAGGTTAATCAGTCCATGTTCTCCTCAGACTGACAACCTGCCACAAACTAACGTCCGTGCTATTGTAGATGCCTGCAGTGAGCCTCCTGCTAATATTAAGTTATGTGCGTGCAACTACTGATAATTGTAGGATTTATTTTTCTAGCCACATCACATATATTTTAGTAATTACATATTCTGTCCTCTGGAGGGAGCTGCTGGCATTTACACCTGCAGAGGACTCCTGCCCTCCCACTAAAACACTCATCCTGAAAAACTAAAACTGCTCTTCATGTATCAGACTGTGATTTAAAATAAGCCACTGTGTGGGACCGTGTTTTATTTCAAAATAAAATACTCAGAAATAATGACATTTCTGGCAGCAGAGTGTCACGATCTGACACTGCAGAGAATTTAACAAATGAAAAACTGACAACAAGTTGTGCTTGTCACTGCAAGAGAAGAGAATCGATGTGGATTTGTTGAACTTGCTTTAATAGTTAGCGCTTCACACACAGGATGTTTCGATCAATACGTCTGCTGTTACGTTGATAGCAGACAAAGCCAATATACAGCAGCAGCAGCAGCAGATTCAAACAGTAAACAAAGAGGCGGAGAAGAAAACAATGTCTTGGTCACAGTGTAGTTTCTCAGATTCATGTCTCTTATTGTTTTATCAAGAAACAGAACGTCAGTGCTTTATTTATATACATAGAGATTTGTTATTGAAAAATAAAAAGTTTCCCAGACCCAAAAAGTTCTGGTTTAGGGCCATGAGCATGAAACGGCATGATTATGAAAATGGATGTATTACTAAATTATTGAAATATTAGCAAACCTCTGATGAGATAGACAAGTTAATATCATGTATGGTCATATGTTTATATAATATAGAGCCTATTTGCAGTACATTCAAAATAACAGCACAGTCCATCAAGCATACAGGCTGCCTATGTTGCATTATACTATCATAGCAATGATCGACATGCTACAAATACAGTATATTTCAATGATTTCTGTGCAAAGTTATTTTTAAATAATATATTGTATACATACTATAATACTGTACAGTTGACAGAATAAACTGTATTTAAACATGTGCACAATTTGTTTCCACAGGTATTTATGTTTTCAGATTGCACTAATAGAACATTTCTCTACAGTAACAGCATGAGTGTTTCAATAAGACGACATGTATCATGGTAAACGCCACACAAAGCACATGTGATTACCATGAATTGAACAACTTATCAAACTGGACACAACTCCAGAGTCAAAGCTGATAGAGAGCCCTCTGTCAAATTTTAAAAGCACATTCAAGTCCAGGATTTTTTACTTTTCTAATCGATAAACTTGCTTCGATGCAGCCTTAGAGTTTTTTGTTGTTGTTGTTTACCTCCCAGTGACTTCAAAGTCCAGCATGAGTCAGGTCTCTCACATTGTGGTCAGTCAGCATGATTCAAACTCTTCACAGAGGTGAAAAGGAGTATGGCACATATCTGCTGTCAGTGATTCATGCAGCTACCACGACATGTTGACTGTATAAAAGAAATATTATGTATGAAGTGCTGTTTGACCCCATTCTGTAATCATTACTGAAATCATTTTCTGCTGCTACAAACGTGAGTTATCCTGGACTGTTAAAGGCACATTTGGTTATAGAGAATTATAGGGAGGAAGTGACATGGATAAACAAAATTGCAGAAAGCATTAACAAATATAAAAACACTGATGTAAGCTATATAGTTTAGTGAAAATTATAGATTCAGGATGAAACTGACAGAAGGGCGGGACTCAAATTACAAATCCGTCAGCTACTTAAGCGCCATGGATTTATCGAAACACAGCACACTTAAGCCTCAGTTATGCTTTTCCGCACTGACGGTGCCATGGACATGAGTCAACGCAAAATCATGAAAAAGTAACATTTGGATCTTTTATACTGCATACAGGTTTCTCCCTAAACGTCTGCAATGCCTAGTGAGAAAATGTTGGATGTGCACAGATAGACCAAACTGTGTAACTACAACATCCAGGTCCATCAAGTGATGCCATTGGGCCCCAGAAGATTTTTTGGAAAGAGACGTCTATAAATCAGTGGATAAGATTTTTTGAACATCACAACCCGAGAAATGACCCATTTCACTGTGGGGATTTGATCCTTTCGGTCTGATAACAAGCCTAAAGTCTTGAAGAGCAGCACGATCAAATCATTTTATCCCATTTCAAATTATGCTGGAGGTTAGCCACTTGGCCTAGGCTGGAAAGGCTCGCACATACTGTCTGCATTGAATGCCAAAAGATAGCTGCGGTAACACGGACAAGCAAAAGGGTTCTATTCATAGTGCAACTGACGTTTCCGTCAGCCCTCAGTAGGAAACAAGAGGGCTGGGAGGTGAGGTAACTGTCCGCCTACTGTCGACATCGGGTGAAAGTGAAACTAAGAAGATGCGAGAAGATGTCTAAAGTAAATGTCCATTGAATATCCAATTTGAAATTAACTTCACGGTGGTGAGACAGCGTGCCATGGCTGGCTTGATAGCAGTGTTTTGGACTGAACTGGAGTGTGGAGCAAGAAAATTGGAGCATGTGCAGTCGACGCCCTTGTCATGCCTAACGTCTGCATGGTCACAAAAATGGCCAATTCATATTTCCGCATCCTGCAAAGGTTTGTTTTAGTCCATGTGCATCATCTACCCATGTCTGCATCTGAATGGAGCCTGCATGGAGGTAGGCATGCAGCCCATTTTTTGTGACTGCATGGACTGTATGCTTAGCAAGCGCACTGACCGGGCATGCTCCAATCTCTTGTTCCAAACTCCAGTCCAGTCCAAAACATGGCGGTCAAGGCAGCTGCAGCAGCTGCACCACTGTGAAGTCAGTTTAAAGTTAAATATTTGACATTCACTCCCAGCAGCATCTTCTTAGTTTCACTTTCACCCAGTGTTAGCAGTAGAAAGATAAGCTCACCTCTAAGCTGTCTGGTTTACTGCTGGAGGCTGACACAGACCATCAGCTGTACTGTACAAACTGTGTGTGTGGCAACTATGACTTGGCCCTAAGTCTCTGGTCTGCTTGCTCTATGGGCCCCATCATGTGGAAGATTTTACACCCAGGAAGTTGAGCTAACTTGGCTGCATGTGCCACTGAGCAACTTGCACAGGAACGAACAGGGCCTGCCTCCAATGCTGCATCAAGTTCTCTTTATACATCCATGATCCAAAATAGTCATTGTGCTAACAAGGGGAATGGCATCCCCCTTCATCCCCCCTGAAATCACCTACTGTGATATTATCAATGAGGTTTTTCATTCTTAGTAATATACTCTGTAGCAGGACAGTGTCCGGTTACTGTTAAAGACAAACTTTAATTACATTTGCTCTACACAATCTGCCATGAGGAAAAAATATGAATCAGAGAGGAATACACTTTATAATGTGACACTTTCATCTGATCTCTGAAATGAAATCATATCAATGTTGGCACTGGCTATACCCCAAGTTAGAATGAAAATAAATTCTGTACAAGAGTCAAAACTACATTGTGGATGTGACGTGCGTTAGGCCCAGATCATGGGAGTCTTCTTTTCCAATGTGGGAAATCGATGACAGTTCCACTGCTAGTCATGCCGGCTTTCTAGTCCCATCTGGGTTCTCCAGGGGAACAGCGGCCTCCCTCACACTGCTGGCGTTCTTCTTACTCCCTGACACCTTCTCCCCCTTCAGTCTGGCCGTGAGGCAGAAGTCTATGAAGCAGCGTTTGAAGTTCTCATCCAGAAAGGCATACAGGACAGGGTTCAGGCTACTGTTTGTGTAGCCCAGAGCCACGCAGAAGAAGTAGGCAGCCATGATGGCGGTGGTTTCCGGTATGCTTACGAGCGCCTTGACAAGGATGAAAATGTGAATGGGTGTCCAGCAGACCACAAACACAGCCACCACCACCACCACCAGCCGCGTGATCCGCCGCAAGTTGCGGTCTTTTTCCCGCGAGCCGGACAACATGCGGACGCTCTTCAGCCTCAGGACCATGAGGGAGTAGCACACGGTGATGATGAGCACAGGCACCACGAAGGCAAAGACAAACACGCATATCTTCATCAATGTGTCCCAGTACACGTACGGCTCTGGGAACTGTAAGGCACACTCAGTTATGTCTGCAGGAGAGAGGGAGGAAGAAGATGTGAATTAAGTGATGAAGTGCACTTTATGATAAATAAAATTCCCCTCTGTGCCCTTCTACTATTAATTTAACAAGCTGCTGTGGATCAGCTAATCAAAAAGGAACATTTTGCTCTGAACTGACATCATCTGTATTCAGGCAGGATGATGCATGATGTGTGGCTAATGGAAAACTCTGCACTGACAGATAATAGATTATATTTCTGCTCTTAAAATATTACCGGCGTGCACTTTAAGAGTCTCCCGTACTTAAAGAATCATCTGAGACTTTTCAACTTCATTCAGGGATGGTGAAAGCGTTTCCTCACCGCTCTTTGTCTGGGTGCCACCCAGGATAAAAGCAGGTATCCCCGCAGCCGACGACAGAATCCAGATGCACACGTTGATCATCTTGGCTTTGATCGGAGTGCGGAAGTCCAGGGCTTTTACCGGGTGGCACACTGCCACGTAGCGATCCACACTCATCATGGTGAGGGTGAAGATGCTGGTGAACATGTTGTAGTAGTCGATGGAGATGAAAACCTTGCAGACCACCTCACCAAAGGGCCAGGTATTCAACAGGTAGTCCGTGCTCTGGAAGGGCATAGTAGTGGTGACGAGGGCATCGGCGAGCGCCAAGTTGAAAATGTAAATGTTGGTGGCTGTCTTCATCTTTGTGTACCTGTTAAACATGTAGAACACAAGGTTGTCCTGTAATAGCGAGGAGGAGAGAGATGACCAAAGCTAATCAACCGCTCATATTGCTTGGCTGGCTCTTTGGAAGAGCTTTCGTTTTGGCTCATTATGAATTAAACATTGTCTATTAGTCCACAACGCTTCCTTGAATCTGTAATGTAATTTTTCTGACTCACACTTCATTGTTATGTATAGTATGGTGCTGATTGCAGGCCATGTGTAGTCAACTTGTTTTCCCTTCATTAAATTATAATAGCATCAAAGCAGTAAGTGATGACTTTTGCAAAGTTTAATCTTAAAATTCAATTTAAAGTTTTAATTCTTTACCAGTAGCGGTGCCTACAAGTTGTAATGAAGCATTGGTATTAAAATTAGATCCTTCAGAGCTGCCTATGTGATTCATGGTGACTGGGCAATATAAGAACAAAAGGATCCTCATACATCTCTTTCACAACAGGTGCATAGGAGAGGGACGAGTAGGACACATTTTCCAGACAAACTCCCCCACACTGTCTAACTTGCAAAAAAAAAAAAATATTTATTGCGATGTTTCAGTAACTAGACCTTCATCACTGCCATGGCTCACAGGAAGTAATCCATTTTTTAAAATGACAACAGACTCATCTGATATTAAGTTATCACACAGAGCACTTACTCAAAATCAAACCTAAATTCCTTGGATAAAGCTGTACGTGACAATGCTGCAGGGCTGGTGATGTAACAGATTCTTTTACATGAAAGCCTTAAAGGGGCAGTTTTCCTCTAATCAAAAATGCATATTTTTCCTTTTACCCGCAGCGATATGTATCAGTCTAGATTGTTTAAGTGATTGTTGAGTGTTGGAGATATCAGCTATAGAGATGTCTGTCTTCTCTCCAATATATGGAACTAGATGGCACTCTGCTTGTGGTGTTTACAGTGCCACAAAAATGAATCTGAAAACTCAACAGCAGTGTCTCTTTCCAAAAATCATGACCCGGTTACTACAGATAATCCACAGACCTTGTTGTGAGCAGTTTCATGTAGGAACTATTTTTTTTCTACTTAACTACACCCACCAACTGTATCGCCATGCAGAAGGAAGCGTGCATCTACTCATGGAGGAAATGCTCGTGCTTGTGATAGCACAAGATGTCAACATTAATGGCAGCGTCCTCGGCTGAGCTGTAATGTTAGCTAGGAGCTAGTGAACATGCTTCCTTCTGCGCAGTGATTTGGCAGGCGGGTGTGTTTCAGTGGAAAGAACATAATTCCTACATTAAACTGTTCACAGCATGGTCTGTGGATTATCTTGAGTAACCAGGTCATTATTTCTTCAGAGACATTGCTGTTCGGTTTTTCAAATACATTTTTTTGGGGCGTTTTGAGCACCACAAGCTGAGTGCCATCTAGTTCCATTATACTGGAGAGAAGACAGACATCTCTAATGGCAAAACGAAACAATCTAGAGTGTTAAATACGAGTACAGGTAAGAGGAAACATACAAATATTTGGTTTGGGGTTAACTGTCCCTTTAAAGGGATGATTCTACATCAGAGGAAGTATACTCATTCACTTTCTTGCTGAGAGTCTGTAGGTTAAATATGAGGCTACTGCTATCCCAAAGTTGAACTATTCCTTTAAACACGCATTTATTGATTTTTTGGCCACTTGGGGGCAGCACAACAAGCTGTAAATAAAACCCTGACATATTATAACATGTTTGCAAACAGTTGTTTATCCAGCAGACTCAAGCATTCATGTATGTTTATGTCTACCTGCTTAAAGACAGTCCAGCATTCACTCTCCTTTGGCACATTTTTTTGGTCTTAATCACCTCCTGAGGGGAATATCTGGCACTTTAGCTGCTACATTCTCCACTATTTTCACCAACTACTTGCTAGCTTGTTTTCTAACTTGTTGTCTGTTGTTTGGTGTTGGCCAGGTAGCACACAATGGTTTTATTTGAGATTTTTCACTGACCACAGCTGCCAGCTGTGACTGGAAACAACAGTGATGAGAGCCATGAAAGTAAATCAGAACATAAATCAAAACAATGAGCTGAAAGACGTTACAATGCACTGTAGAGCTGAGGAGAACTGCAGAGCCAGGTGATTATAATCTGTGGGTTCAATACCAGGAGTGACCCTTTTCACATTACATGTAGTCATTTGATCCACTGTTAATATAAAAGTATTGATTACTGCAGCTTTAATAGTATGAACCATTTACAGCCATAAAGGGCGCACTGCCATGTCAGATACTTTCATTAACAGCTTGTAGCTCAACATCTAAAATGTTACCTATGCTGATTTAGTGAGGGTTTGGATGAGGGTAATTTTGGATGTTTGTTTGCACTAAATCAACACAAAACAGCTTTTTACTGCAGCTGAATCCAACTAAACAGTACAACGTACAGTCTTTTCTGTAACCGCGGTGATGAAATTGGCTTCTAGCGACAGGCATTGCAATCAATCTGATTTGAGGTAATTGTTGTCTGCGAGCTGTAGCATTCGCTGCATCGCACATTACATCAAAGAGGATTTATTGGCTCTCACACACCATAAATAACGGCCAATGAGGTGCAAGCAGGCTATCAGATTTGATAAAGCACCACTGGTTTCAACTATGATTAATATCATGTCCAACAGACTGGGAGAGCTTTACACAATATTGTTATTATATTTTGGCGGCCTCAGGGTTATTAGATTCATAAAACAGGCCACTTTTGAAGGAGGGAGAATCAATGTTGCCATTTTTTACACATTAACATTGAATTAGAAATGACAGCATTAATCTTAACTCTTTCTTTGTCAAAATAACTTCAGTTCAGTTCAGTCTCTCTGCAATACTCATAGGAAGAACAGGGTTGGTTGTCACATTCATTAGATCTCACTTCCTAGAGAGCACTGTTAAGAAATGTTGCTACTGAAATTTTCAGAATTGGGGTCAGAGGTCATTTACAGAGTCATTTCAGGGGTAAGACACTTGAGACTGGGTATGTTTACATGCACACTAACATTCCCATATTATTCTGAATATGACAGTATTCTGAATTTGATGCAGGTCTTGTAAACACATATTCCACTTGGATTTTCCAAATTAGGCCTTATTCCATTTCTAGCATTTTCTGATTATGACGTGAGCTATGTCGGTATTATTCTGGTTTTAATGGCATTATTTGGGCATGTGTACAGCACATTCTGAATATGCGACTCATCAGGGGTTTTTACCGCATTTTGTGACAAATGGCCTCCTGCCTGTTTACAGTCGGCTCTGTGCGTTGTCATGAATACATAGTACACAAACCAATGCACCAAGAGTTTACAAGGCTGCAGATGCATGCCCAAAAGACATAACAACATATCTGATCGAAAGATGAAACAACACCTACTTTTAAATATTATGAAAGACTTGGATATCAACAAGTGTTTGGATAGGCACAATTATCACAACACCGACCTTTTCAAGAAGGGGGTTAGAGGAATGAATGATGGAGGCTGGGTTTGCACGGTTGAACACTTCTGCCACCAGTAGAAAACTTTGAAAAAAATCTGTTTTGATTCAAAGAAGCAAAATGACAAGTGGTTACAGCCATTCCGCTTTTCCATATTTTGACGTGATGAATGACAGTATGAACAGCTGCATGTGAAGAGAAATATTAGTGATATATTTATTTTAATTAGTGTTGTAAACAGGTTAGTCGGAATATTATCTTTTTTGGAATACGGGCATAAACTGGAATATTTTGCGAATGTAAATGTAACAATTGAAGTGAGAGGACTTTTAGTGTTGTTCATGTGAAAATGTAAACATCCGGCTCTCTCTCAGCTTTTTCTTTCTAGCCTTTTATACAAAGAGTTTATAATAAAACAATGACAAGGTAAAAATGGAGAAGTAGACTATAGGTTAGATAGCCTTGTTTAGCCAGGCTACAACATGTGGTTGTTAGTGTAGTCGCTTGCACAAAATCCTTGTTGGGGATGCTTGTCACATTTTTTTCAGGGGTCAGCTATTGTTCCAACCCGGTCTCACTCCAAAGTTGTCAAAATCCGGCGCTTGGTCAGTGACTTGTGGCTTCAGACACTGACGAAAAAAGCCGGCCTTTAACATCAGCTTGATACACAGCCAGTCGCCGGTGTAGTTTAAAGGCACTTGGCAGCATCAGGGGTGGGACAAGAACGGAAGTTAAGGCAGCAAAAGTCCAAGTCGGGTGGGCGGGAATGGTGGTGGATCAGTCCAACAACGGTGAGCGGTGTTCGTGTCCCATAAGATTATAAAGCCAAACCCTGTTCTTTTTTCCTAAACCTAACCACATGCTTTTGTTGCCTAAACCCAGCCATGTGTGTTAGTTGTTGTAGGAAAGAAAACATCAATTTGCATTGATGTACTGACGTAGTGTGTTTTGAAAGAGACTGTATGTAAATGTTAAATTTCCTGTGAAACCGGAAGTGTGTTTTGAAAGAACACAATACATGTAACAGGCAGAACTTGACACGGTGTCCCAGAACATCAACAACCAACACACCCAGGGTATGTTACATGTCTTATGTGGACTTGGAAAGTCCATGAACAAACGTCAGTATGTGAGGTTAGAGAAGGATGTTTTGATTGTTCTTTATATTGTTCCATAAGGATATAAAATGCACTTATAGTAATGATTTTTCCTGTTGATGTTCTCTCAATACAACAGATTTGTTAGGGTGTTCCATTTCAGTGAAAATTTTCAACAAAATGAAACTTCTGAAATTCATTTTTAAGGTTGTATCCATTTGTTTTTAATTTTTCCCCATTAAAATAACACAGGGACAACCAACCCCACAGTGTGTTACCACCAACTCCACACTGGAGATGGCTGCCACAAGTGCACAAGTCATATTTGACAGCTCATATCTTTCAAACAGAATATGTGTATTCAGAGTAAGGCCACTCCTCTCCTGACACTTCAGGCTTCCATTAAACATAGTAAGGAATCTATCAAGGACACAGTTTTTGAGGGATTCAAATCCAAGTAAGAACTGTGACAACCAGCCCAGTTCTCCCCTACTGACCCAACCATTCAGCACACCACATGCCAACTCTTTGGATGAGCTGTATACGAGAGCTTAAGAGCAATGGACTTGCCATTAGAGAGCACTAAGGAAACTTATGATATAGACCAGATGGCCTTGAGGTCACTGTGAAAGCCCAAGGGTTGGTGCCAGTGCCATCTCCACAAGTAATAACATTTACAGTGACTGTGAAGGAGCACATTCTTCTGGCTGCACCTCTGCTGTTTTCTGTATTTCCAAAAACAGATGGCATAATTAAGCTTCCTTGGATGTGGAAAAAGAGAGATTACTTTAACTGTCTTTAATAAAATTTCCAGAAAACTGCAACTTTTAATCAATAACATTCATATTGTGTTACTTTAAAAGCTTAACGTATATTTCAGGGACCCCATGATTTTAATATGGATTTTTTATCTCGACATCCTTAAAACGACCTTACCTGATGATCACATACATGACGAGGCAGTTGCCCAGCAAGCCGACCACAAACACCACGGAGTAGACTGCAGTAATGATGGGGATGATGGGAGACATGCCCTCCGGCTCCCAGCTATCATCGTGGGTCACATTGCGGCTCTCGGAGTATCCGGACATCCAGGCTGAAGAATTCAGCGGACAGTCCTCCAGCAGCGTGGAGAGGCACTTATTGTCGTCTTTGAATATTTCCACCGGAGTGCTTTCCATATCTACACCAGTTTGTTGAGAGAAAGCTTCAAAATAAGACTTTAAAGTGAATACATGGTCTCATATGACAATCTGCGATGTTGAGAGTAATAATGAGGTGGGCACATAAGGTGCGACTGAGCCAGAAAAACGCACCCACTGATTAAAAAAAATAATATATATATATATATATATATATATATATATATTAGAAAAAATCATCACGTTGCTGCAAAACAATTACAGCCTTGCAGGACTGACTTTGAGCCACTTGTAGATCATGCAAAACAGTCAGAAATAAGCTCGCAGGTGCTCTTTTCAGTAAAAAACGTCAACACTTGACCGTAATTTGAAGCTCGCAGTTTACTCACCTTGATGGATCCGAATTAGCGGACACAGCCTGTGAAAATATATTTTATTAAAATGATATTCAGCCCGGGTTGTTTTGTTCCCTCGGTGAAGGTTACAGCTCATCAAAGTTTGTGGATGGCACTGCGCGCCTGGAGAGGAGCAGCAGCGGCTTTGCGGACACTCGTGCACACGCACTGATGGAGAGGCGGCGCGCGCAATCAGGCTAGACTCAACACACACACACACACACACACACACACACACACACACACACACACACACACGTTGTTGTACTTCAGCCTTTGTGAGAACCCTTATTGACATGGTGCATTATCAAGTCCCTTACCCTAACCTTAACATAAACTTAATAAGCTCCTTTCCTCATTTTAATTTACTAACCTAGTGTGTCCTTTTAAATTGCGTTTTCAGTGATTTCATGATTATTCATTTAAACTTATAGCACTTTATTATTATTATTAACCACTAGCCTAACCCACAGTGTGTTTTAGTGTGGTATAAATATTTTAGCACATTTTTAAAGGAGCAGTGTGTAAGATTTAGGGGGATTTAGTGGCATCTAGTGGTGAAAATCACAGACTGCAACCAGCTAAAACTTCTCCCTGTAAGAATTCCGTCAGTGTTCATTGTTCAGGGGGTTTTACCAGGAGCCAAATTATTCACAGAGGGCTCTTCCTCTCCAACACAAATGAACCAGGTGGCTAAAAATGGTAAAAATACTGAATATTATGGTGGCCGAGAGAGGTCACAACACACGCAAACTCCACAACACCCACAAATCCACACAACACATGCACATTAAGAAAACACCCCCAAATTCAGAAAACACATTCATCAATTTCACAACACATACGCTGCAAATCCTCACAACACAAGCAAGAAGCTAAACGCTCCGCAAAAAATGAAAAGCACACGCCAAATTGAAGATGACAACGGAAATGTGAGGAACTGAGCCAAAAGTGTTGGCAAGGTCTAAGAGCTCAACTCGGAGATCTCTTCCATCCTTTTTGGTTGTGTGGATTTGATGCCATATAATGTTTGTCAGCTCCAGACACCCAGAAAGAGCAAGAGATCCCTGCCTTCCGAACTGATGTACCAATGTAGTGGTTCTTAGCTAGGTAGACACTCAGCCTGTGAGCCACAACGCTGAAGAAAATTTTGCCTTCAACATTCAAGGATTTGTGTGGCTAAATTAGCTGATGTCAGTAGAGTCCTTTTCCTTTGGGATTAGGACACCCCCTGCCCTCCACCAAGCTGTTGGTATTGCTTTTTTCTACCCCGCCACCTGCGTCAGTGTCCACAGAAAACAAAGTACATCTGGTACATTTTTATAAAGCCTGTATGGGACTCTGATAGGCCCAGGGTAGGATGCAGCCCTTGCCCGACACACAATACTTCCCACTTGACTCCACTTGGGAGGGCAGACATCTAGCTGTTGTTCTGGGAAGCGTATTGTTGGCATATCAGATGAAAGGCCGGCTGTCAGCATGGATTGCCTTAAGGTGACCCTTGAGATCCCGCCTTCATTTTTAGAGTTTGCCACTTCTCTCCTTTGTGAACAGATCTTTGAAGAAGTTTCATTGTCTGGTCCTTCTTTCTATGCCTCTGTCTCCAATTCTCTGCTCTCCTTGAAGATGATGGCAGGTTCTTGATTTCTGCCCGCAGTAAGTTTATTCCCTGCTTCTCTTCCTCTGAGGCTTTCCTTCACTCCTTCTTCAACTGCCTTCTCTGTTTGACCAGGTGCTCTATTTCCTGATGTCTTATGGTATTTGTTGGGATGGGTGTTTTTTTTTCCTTCACAGCTGTAAAGTGCTCAGCTCAGTCGCTGTAGATCAACTCTCCCATTCTTTCCAGTTTCTTCAATGCAGTTCCCCTCAGCTTAGTAAACTCCCCACAGGAGTTCACTGAGGTTTGTATTGACCGTTTTCCACTCATTTTTCTCACAGGATTATGGCCAATTTATGAGTAGCTTTCATCCCTGGATCTTAGCCTTGGTTGTAGGATGTGGTGAATTGGACTCATGGGGCTCTGCTGTGCTTGACTTACAAACCACAAACATAATTCTTATTTTCAGGTGATACTAGAGTTCTCAATGGGCTGAAAATATTACAACCCAAACCAACCCAACGCATGAACTGAAGTCTGAAACCGACCCATCCAATATCACCACATAAAATACTGAGCCCAAGCCTGACCAAGCCCACCCCCCCAAAAACCTCATCAGCTGCTAACGCCTGGACCACACCGTCTGTGCAATGGCACAAGCCATGCATGTCTCAAGCAGAAAAATGGACCAGCTTGATGGATCACTGATTCTCCACACTGTATTTTCCAACCAGAGAAGCTTCCTGCTTGAAGGACAGAGAGCCCAGCACAGAGACTGGCTGCTCCCTCTCCTTCTCTCCCTGCCTGCAGGGCGACCTTATATTACCCTTTGGCTGACTTCGACTTTATTTTCACCACCATCTTCTCCTCACATTTTCTTCTCTCTGACCTTGTTGACAGTGATGCTGACAGCTTCCAAACACCCCTTCTGTTGCAGGAGAAAGAAATGGGAGATGATATCAATCAATCAACATATAATATGTATAATATATGTTGGATTTACATTTTTAAATAAATGATAATTAAATAAATGAATGTTTTTTTTTATTTCAACACATTCTCATATATCAATGTTTGATCGTGGACTTTCCACATCAACATATTATGTGCAAGGTACCCTGGGTCCATTGGTTGTTGATTGTTGTGGGACATCATGTCAATTCAGCCTGTTGCATGCACTGTCTGCTTTTGTCTTTACAGGAAGTGCACAGTTTGCATACAGGCTCTTTCAAAATAAATGCACTATGTTGGTACAAGACTGCTATTTGACATTTTTTCCTTCAACAACAAACACATGTGGTTATGTTTAGCCAGAACATGCACGTGGTTGAGTTCAGGAAAAAAGATCAGGGTTTGGCTTTACAATCATACAGGAAGCGAACACTGGCCTCCCAGGTGACTGTCAGTAGTTGTTAGTTGTTAGAACCCAGCCTCCACCTCTCCTGTATATGGGTGTCTGACGCCAGAAATCACTGCCGAAGCATTGGCATTAGGCAACGATTTATTTAGTTATATTAAAAATTATTCAACCTAAATCCTACACAGTGGACCTCTAACCCTCAAACAGGCATTTGAAGAAGTGAGGACAAACCAAAATGTCCTTACTTTCCACAAATGTCCTCACTCAGTTGATTAAAAACATGTCTCGGTCCTCACTATGTAGCAAGTACAAGTACACACGCACACACTAACATACACACACACACACACACACACGCACACACATTTAACAGCCAACCTTCGCCCAAATATGAGATGACAAAGCAATAACTTGCAGGGAGGCACCCAGCATCTTACAATCTCATGTCACAGTGGAGTAAAAACTATTCATCATTAACCGAGACATTTCTGATTTGCATATTGAGACATTTAAAAAAAAAAGATTAACCACAGTAAAACAGCACTGATGTAATGTATTTGTCCTCACATGACGTCCAAAATCTATATTCATGTCAGCATTTCTCTGGAGGCATAAAGATTTTTTCCGCTGAAAAGTCTACAGGAATTTGGCCAATTTACTCAGTTTCTCTCAGCATTAAAGCAGACTCGGGGGGAGGTGAGGGTGAGGCATAGTGGAAGAAAGGCAGGAGAGATGAATCTGGCAGCTCTGGGGTCATAACCACTTTCCGTGGACACAGCGCTGCACATTTCAGGGCACTTCTGCTTCAGTGGGCACAGTCCGGAGGGACAGCAGAGGGGGATGATATATGATCAAGGGCCACCTCAGGCAGGGTTCAAACCACCCAATCAGCAAAGAGGATGACCCATAATTTCACCTTGTAAGTCACGAGTTGATACACTTCAGCCTTAAATCTTAAAGTATTTCTACTTTTGATCTTTTACAGAGCAAACAGTTATTATTTTTTGCTTTAGCAAGTGTTCAAAAATACAGACTGAACAAGATCTGAGGAGACACATACATTTTTTATTAAAGCATGCATAGAAAAATCTTTCTATATACCCATCAAACAATGTTGCTTTAAACTCTGGAGACCCTCACCCCACACCCAGCCTGATGTATTGAGCTCTCTTCTTCTCCTCCTGCAGTGTGAATGCCAGTAAACAGTTCTCCATCCTGCAATACTGGCACCACAGGCTGTTAGTGAACGTATTATGATAGTCAGCGAACTGTGTTAAATGGCAGATTGCACAAATGTGTGAGCTGCATCTGTCTCCAGCCAGTCTTATAATGTTGTGTCTGGAGTCCTTCTACACTAGCTCAATGACTCTTCATGTAATTTTATGAGAATTGCTTGTTAACAGGTTCTCATAGCGTATATTTCTTCTTTCACAGACTCCAGCTATAAAATATGCTTAAATATAATGAATTTATAAGTGTAAATGGTGTTGGCAGTGCATCATGCTATAGCTCCTAAATCCCCAAATAGTCTTTTAGGGAGATAGTTTGGATTTTTCGCAGTTGGGTTGTATGGGTTACTTATCCATTTACATATCTACATACAGGTTTTAGCAGTCGGTGCACCCCCCAGTTTGGAGAAGCCGGCTGGAGTGCGACACAGAAGCTCCTCAATGTCAGTCTTAGTGTATGCTATACTGAGAGTATTGTCATCACTTGACCTTTCCGTCTGACAGCCTATTACAACATGGAAGCCGAAAACATCTTCAGTTCTATGCTCTCGTCAAAGCCACCAGACTCCATTGACGAAAACATTAATTTTAGTTTGCTGAAAATAAATGGGAGTTGCTGGTCTATTGCTGCTTGGATCAGTTGAGTAGTCAGTAATTTTGTGACTTTGGTGAATCCTTCACTTCATGTTCTTGTGTCACATACGGTAGCTGCAAAGGACCAATTTAAAGATTCACAAAGGTCAAAATATACTGGAACAAAGTAACCTAACATGTTTAACAACCTCTCCAACATTACACTGAAATATACTATAGCTCTGTATACTGCAGCAAGTCATACCGTCTAACAATACATCAAACAGCTTACACTAAATATAGCTTACACTAAATATACACTTAAACTAATATTGATGTTTTTAAAGTGGGACTTTTTTTTAGGTGGTTAGAATATGTTTTGTTGCTGACCCC